TGAGGCGGCCGCAGTTCCCAGTGCCCAGACCCCACCCTCTCCACCCAGAGCAGGAGATCAGGCCCTGTTTCCCGGAGGCTCTGGAGTAGGAATGATTCTAAGTACCCCTTATTATTCTCAGCTGAGCCTGGGCCAGCTCAGGCTGGGGGCTGCCTATGTGAGAGAGATGCCGCCGGGATTAGCTAACCCCTGCAGCACTGAAACGTGTTTCTGTCCAGGTGGCACTGCAGGGGAACCGGAATTCCTCAGAGCCTTTGACCTTAGAGGATCTGTGGGAAGATTTCTCAGAAGTGCAGTGTCCTTCCTTAGGAAAGTGACTCTCTTATCCCTCACCATGTGGTGTTATCTTCCCCCAAGGCCTCTAGCTCTGTTCAGAGAACAGAATTTTCTAGAAAGTGCTGAATGTACTGGTCTTCTTCTTTGAGGCCAGGGCAATGGAGCCATGAAAATGTGGGTAAGGCAGGATGTAGAGCTGATAATCCAGTTTTCTCCTGAATCCCCCTGAGAGGTTAGCGAGGGGATAGTTTTCCTTAAAACGCTCCTTAGAATACTTGGCTGAACCTGAGCCAGGCAGGGCGGGAGGCTGCTTTTGTGGGAGACACACCCCAGAGACTAAATAACTCCTATTGCATTGCGAAACACCCTGGGGACCCCCAGGTGCAGGCCTCATGCCCAAGGAGTAGTCGAAAGATCCAAGAGCTTGTCAGACTTCAGTTGAGGAGAAGGAGGGTGGAAATGCACCTTTATGTCTTCTTTGCCCTGCTGCTTCCCCTGGAGAGTAGCTTTAAGAGTTCTGCTGATAAATTCATGTCAGTGTCAGGTGCCAAAGCTGCCTGATATGCCTGGAAACTCGACTCCCTCGCCAGTGAAGAATCTTGTGATGTCAAAGGCTAGAATGCCTTCTGCAGCGTCAGGACTGGTGGACACGTGCTGGGTGTCCTGGTCAGCTCAGGCTGCTATAACAAAATACCATAGACTTAGTGGCTTGAAGAACAGATACTTATTTCTCACAGTTCTAGAGGCTGGGAAGTCCACGATCAAGGTGCCAGCGTGGCTGAGTTCTTGTTGAGGGCTCTCTTCCTGGCTTGCGGGCAGCTGCCTTCTTGCTGTGTGTCCACATGGCAGGGAAAGAGTTCTGGTCTCTTTCTTCTTATAAGGACACCAATTGCTTCATGGAGACTCTACCCCCATGACCTCATTCAAATCTTATTACCTCCCAAAGGCCTCTCACATGAAGGATTAGGGCTTCAACCTATGAGTTTCGGGGGGACATAAACAGTCAGCCCATAAAAGCAGTTGAGAGTTTGGGCTCTGGACTCAGACTCAGATCTGAATGAGATCTTGGCTCTGCCACTTACTAGAGGTGTGACTTTGAGTCTCTTCTGTAAAGTGGGGATAAGTATTGTGTCGTGTATCAAAGGTTAGAGTGACATAAAATTAGAGAGTATAGTGGTGGAGAGCAGGGGCTGGAGGGTGGTGGAAATTGGGAGATGCTGGTCCAAGGATACAAACTTTCAGTTATTAGATGAATGAGTTCTGGGAATCTAATGTACAGTTCGGTGACTCTAGTTAACAACACTGTATTGAATACTTTGAATTTTTTCAGAGAGTAGATCTTGTATTCTCACTGCAAAAAAAAAAAGTAACCCTGTGAGATAACATATGTGTTAACTAAACTTATTGTCGTAATCATACCACAACACATACTTATATCAGATCATGACATTGTACACCTTAAACTTACACTTAACTTACACTTAAACCTGTCAGTTATATCTCAGTAAGGCTGGAAAGGAAAAAGTCAGAGTGAAAGTAACATGCCCAACACAGTATCAAGAATGTAAACACTGGTGAAGCCAGGGATGTGTTGACTGAAGGGCTTTCGGGAAGTGATGTCTCTGCCCACAAACTCACAGGGAGCGGAGGTGGTCCTGAACCTTTGTGAGTGTCGCAGAGGGGAGGCGGTTTCCCAGAAAGCCTTCTTTATAAAGACAAGCCTAAGAAAGCTGCAGATCCTGGTGGGTCCCTGATTCGTGCTGAGGTCACACGTTGTACTAGCACCAGTCTGTACCCTCCCCCAGTTCCCAAAAGAGCCTTCTCCCAGTCATCCACCTAGTTCCCCGCCTCACCCCCTTTTTGCCTCTGTGATTGCTCACGCTTTCCTTCCCCCTAGAATGCCCTGGCCCCCCACCCGCCGTTTTTGCCAGTGACTGTGAGGTCTCCTTCCAGCCCTTGGTTCAAATGGCACTTCCTCCAGGAAGAGTTTAGTCATCAACTTAATTCCAAGTGGTGACGTCCTCTGCCACCCCTGCTTCATAACATACTGTCCAGACCACTCTCTGGACCCACCGGGTGCTGCCTTGCCTCTTGGCAAATCCACTATCATAAACCTCCTGGGCAAAGGAACCCAGCCTTACACAGGGATCAGGGAATATTCTGTGAGGTGATGAAGAACTTTTCCAGGCCTCAGAACCCATAGAACTTCCTGAAATCTTGAGCAGCTGAGGGATGGGAAAGAAGAAAGCTTTTCCCCTCCCTGATCAGCTAGTTCCTGGTCATCTCTCAAGGAATCATAGGCAGGATAGTCTTTTTCCCTGCATGTCGTGGTGAGGAAACAAAGGCCCAGAGAGGGAAAGGGAGGTCCTCAAGGTCACACAGCAGGTTAGAGCCAGAGCCAGGACCTGGATTCAGGGTGTGCTCAGTTTAGTGCTCTTTCCCTTTTGTTGGGGAGAGAGTGTTGAGGGGCAAAGACATGGATTCTGGGCAGTTGGGCGTTCCTGTGATAATTCATCGATTTAATATGTGCAGTTCTTAGATCAGTCCTGGCACGGTAAGCACAATGTAAGTGCTCGTTGCTGACACCTTTATTACTATTCCCCTGCCTTCACTGACAACCACTTCCCCCTCCCACCAGGTTCTTCAAGTACCTGGAGAATATGCCTGAACATCCTTATTAAGCAGCAGATGAGAAGTTGGTGGGTAGCTTAGAGGACTGACCATCTGGATTACTGACCCTAGTGGCCTACAGTGATTTTTGGACCATCACAGACCCAAGGCCCAACAAATCAGACATTGATGAATAGTTGGGTATTTTGTCTCTTTGTTTTGGTGAAGAGAAAAAGAAAAGGAGCCTTCTTCCCATTTTGCAGGTGCCCAGCAGATCGGTGGGTCTGACATAGTGCCCTCTAGGGCTCCCAGGCCTGCCCAGTGGTCACCATGGCTGAGTGCAAGCCGCAGCCACGGAGGGTCTGCCCAAGCCCTGTCCATCTGCCTGTCTGTCCATCTCTCAGACAGCCTGTGGAACCTCTCAGGCTAGGTTCTCGGAAGGTCAGGGTGCCCAGAATCAGTTCCCATCACCCTTCTCCCACCCGTGAGCTGAAAGCAAGCTTTCCCATCTGTGTGGTTGGAGAGGCATCAAAGTTATCAGTGGGAGCCAGTAAGTGACAGCTTCAGCCTACAGCCTCCCAGGACAGGGTTGTTCAGTGTCGCTACAGACAACCAGCATCTTCTCTCTCAGACTCCCAGTGTCCGCACCCTAGCAGACGACAGGAGACAGGACAGGCATGCACTCACAGACTGCTTTTTCCCAGAGGAGAGCTACCTTTGCCTCCTTCCTCTAAAAACAAGTTTAATTGTGAATTTGGGACAGGCCCAGGAGAAGGTCTCTGAGAATGGAGACCAATGTTCCCTGAGTGGACTGAGCCATTTCTCCGTGTCTGTTCCATTTCCATGTTGGAGTCTGATTGGGTGAAAAGAGTGCAGCATCGATGCTGGCTGCTTAGCTAGGGACCCCTGGGCATCGGGGAGTTTCCACTTGGGATTTCATGTGAGCAGTTAGGGAATTAATTGGAACAGCAATTCTCCTGCCCCAAATCTGATTCTAGGATCCTGTTGTTTTTCTGAGTCTTTCTGGAGAGTGTGACCATTCTCCACATGACATTCCAATCAGCCCGGACAGTTCTTTCCCAGTTGGTGGAGCTGGGTTGGCTGAAGCTTCTGTTCTCCCTCGTTCCAGGCTTTTTGTGACCAGGAGCATATTCGGTCATCCATTCATTCATTTTCTCATTGAAACCACTATTTCAAGGAGCCAGGGTTACAGTGGTGAACAAGAGAGATGTGGTCCATACCTTCCTGGAGCTCCCGGTCTAGCAGAAGAGACAGGCGTAAGAGCACTGACTAATATGAAACGCAGACCTCCCTCTCGGTGGTTAGGGAAAGCTCCCTAGCAGAAGTGATATCTAAGTTAAGACTAGAGGGAAGGGTAGGAGATATCTGGGCAGAGTTGGGTAGAGCATTTTAGCCAGAGGTACCATCCTGTACAAAAGTTCTGAAAAAGCAAGAGAAAGCAAGGAGAGGAATGTACCAGATGAAGCTGAAAGGGAGTGAGGGGCAAGGCCACAGGGCCTTGGGCCCCCCCAGAAGGATGTGGGTCTTTATTCCAACAGCAGTAGGAAGTATTCTCTGTGTGTGATGTGTGTGATGCTGGGAAACTTTTTCCTCCAACTGATCATTCTAGCTATGATGTCAGCCTTGTGAGCCTGCGACTTCTCAAGCCAGCAGACCCAGCTCAAATGTGACAACTGTGTGGTGTCCACTGACCACAGCAGATGGCGTTTCATCTTTTTCCACTCTCCCTTCATCAACATCCGTGTGTTGATTTTTCAGCCACTGGCACCAGACTGTGTTTGTGAGACTGAGCCAGGGGCACTAGCTTGTGAAGGTCCTGGGCCAGACCACTCCCCCTCTCCACCTCTAAGGTTATAAAGGTGAGATTTAGGGGGGACACCAAAGGCAGAATCGGTGGGGAAAAGAAGAACAGGAGGGTATAAGCTTGCTAAGGAGCCAGCCTCTGTTCCTCCTAACCAAGTAGTGTTGGCATTTGAGGACAGACATTCTTTGGGACAGTTCTGCATATCGCAGGACAGTTTAACATCTCTGGCTTTAAAATGTTCCTACACATTTTTAAATCCTCCCTTGTGGGGCAATACCAACTACACATTTTTAAATCCTCCCTTGTGGGGCAATACCAACTACCCCTCCCCTAACTGAGAACCACTGTTCCAGTGTCTGTGGGGACAGGATATGCACAGCTTCGCTTTATGTCCTGCACACGGCCAGCAGGGAGACTGGGTAAATTATCCTCTGCCCTTCTCAGAATATCTTAGGGAAGCTTTTGTCCAATGGGATGGTTTATTCTTCCCAGGCTACTCTTGGGGGCTCCTGCTGTCTCCTGATCCTAAATGGAGTTCCTCCTGACTTCCCTAGCCCCATTGCTCATGATGGTAACCCAACATCCCTGTGCACAATCCAGTGGGCAAAGCTGAGATTTTAGTGCAGACATTTCCAGGCCTCTTGGCTAGACTATGTCCAGGGTGGCAGGATCGCCACTGGTGGCTGAGGTGCTGCTCTGTTGGACCACCAGATGGCGCTCGGAAGCCCCCGTTGTCTGCCGCAGGACCACTGGCGGCAGGAAAGACTGCAGAGGGAACTTGTCTTAAAGAGGCCTCGTCCTTAAAGAGACACGACCACACACTGCAAACCTGAATGGTAACCCCACAGCAGCGAGACTCCACTGATAACAAGCACCACTGGCCAGGCTCTGATGCTCCTTTATCCTCGCCTTCTTGAATGCTGAGCCGCCACCTCTGGGAGCCGGTCTCCTTGACAGCCTGTCTTCAGCCCCTGTGGCCACTCCTGGGCCTGACAGGGATGGGGCCAGCCTGGCGGGTGGCGTCAGAGCTCCTGGCAGAGCAGCAAGGGGCTGGGAGTCATCTGCAGACCTCTGGCTGAGAGAGCAAGAAGCACAGACAGCTTCAGGGGAATGGTGACTGTGGGAGGGCAGAGGGCCAGCCCCTGAGCTCTGACCCCCCGCTGGACATGCCCCTGCCTCACTCGGAGCTGATAAGGTTGGAGCTATTGAACTTTGTCTCTAGGTTTTTGGGACTTGGAGTATCCTTCTGTCTCTTCTGCTGGCCTCTTTCTAAAGGCTGATGGGGATGCTGGGGTAAGTAAATTAGGAAGGGGACTCCAGACCCTACTCCTGAGTCCTCCCTAGGAAACCTCTCATGTTCACTGCTGGGTGGTACAGATCTGAGCCATGTCAGGTGAGGGCCACTTTAGCTGGGGCTTGGTCTAAGACTCTCCTGAAACTGCAGCTTGCTGAGTATAGTCTAAGGCAGGTATTCTTCCCGGGATGCTGGACTCACTGTGGCCCTGACCTTGGAACTGGAGCTTCAGCACAGCCCCTGAAAAATGTGTAGGGACGTGTTGGGAGCGTCACAGCTACAGGGACCTGGGTATCACCGTGCTTTTCCTGGCCATGGTGCCGAGGGAGGCAACAAGGAGGTGAATGTAGTTCTCTGGTTTCTATCTTGCCCTGACTCTTACATCTTCCCCATGACTCAAGCTGACACAGAACTTTGGAAAAGAAATGAATAGTGGGGAGGGTTTTCAGGAAGTCTGTGCTGCCTGTAGATCTCACCGTCTGCTGGAAAATCGAGGAAGCTGAGAAGAGACAGGGAGGAAGAGAGCAAAGGACAGAACTGTTAAGCCAAACCTTCCCACTCAGAGGTGCCCAGGAGAGGCTGAGGAATTTTCTTCTTTCCAGGCCTGAGGGGTGAGGGTGAATCTTAGAACACTAAATGCTGCTTTACTGTCCCAAGGTATCAATTACAGCAGTAAATGAAATGAAGCAAAGAGCTGGAAACAAGCCATCCCAGGGTCTGCTAGGAAGCAAAGTTTATAGTCTGCCAGGGCAGATAGAAAGCCCAGAGGTCACCTACCTGATCCACCTGGGTGCCCACCTACAGATGTAAAAACTGAGGCTGGAAAGGCTAAAGACTGGCCCAGGGCGTAGAAGCAGTGGGTTTTGGCGGGGACTGGAGTTCAGGGAATTGTCATTGGACTGACTGCATCTAGCTTGTCTCCAGAGTCATCTGCCCTGTTGTAGTAGATGTGGTTTTCTTTGGGAACCGGTTCTCTTTTTGCTTAATCATTGGTGGCTCTGGGGAGTTCTGGAATTACATTCCTCCTGTAGCTCCAATTTCTTCCTCCCTGAGTCTAGCTTCATTCTGTTTACTCGTTTATTCACTCACTACAGCCAAGTACGGAGCTTACAAGCGTGGCCTCGGGATTCAGGATCTCAGCTCATTTCCAGGCCCCACCACCTGCTAGGTGGCCAGTAGCATAGCCCTCCTGCTTCTGTGTAATGGAGACAATAGCAGTATCTACCTTGCTGGCTCATTATGAGAATTAAGGGGGATGGTCCATGTGGAGCACATAGAGCAGTGCCTGGCACTTAAGGAGCACTCAATCAGAGTTAGCTGTCATTAGTTTTATTTATTCAACATGTATTATTGAATGCCAATCTATTGGGCTTCTGGCAGAAAGCTGATCTGGGGGCAGAGTGTGGTTATGGCTGCCGTGGAGGTCTACCTGAGCCTCATTCATCCACTGGGCTGAGTGCAGTGAAAAAAGACGCAGTCCCAGCTTTTAAAGAGCTGATCTACTAGGAAGAGTATAAAGGGTTTTTTGGCTATCAGTTTTTTTGTTTTTCTTTTTTAATTTGAACATGGAATCCTACCTGCCCCCACCACAACGCCCCAGCACACCTGTACCTCCAGCCTGTGCACACTGGTGGTCCCTGCTGGCTTCAGAGTGGGGAGAGGTGAATGGAATGGAGATCTTTTTCACCAGAAGTGATTCATCGGTGATCAAGGAAGCTGGGACTCCCAGGGCCTTCCTGCTGTGCACAGGGGAGCGGGGCTGCTAATAGTGAGGAGGGAAGAAAAGTGGAAATACACAGATTTGGTTCTAAGCATGGTCATCCTTTTTCCATCCTGGCCAAGTAGCTGGTAGAAGCGAGCTGGTTGTCAGAGAGGCAGTGAGCAGCACAGCCCTGGGAATTAAGGGCAAGGCCGCAGATCTTCAGAAAGGGATCTATCTGCTTCCTGCTCGTCCCCTCCTCATCAGCCCAGTGCTCCTGGCAACCCACCCTTAAATCCCCCTTAAATCCGGTGGTGAGGCAGGACCAGGCTGGTCGCCACGGGAGGAGGGGAGCCGAGGACAGCCTGAGTGCACAGGCCAGCAGGAGGGCTGGAGAAGGTGGAGAACATTCACACATTCACCTGGAGGACAGGACAGTGAACAGTTAGTGCAGGCTTGGAGGACAAGGTGTGATGGGTGCTGGCTCAGTGCCTCAGGTACACAGGCAGGTCTGCACTCAGCTGAATCAGGGCGGCCTGTCCATGGGAATGCCCCCCTGCTGATCTGACAGATGGGGGTTGCTGGCAGAGCACTTCACCGTGGACACAATGTAGATGAGAATGACTCTTTAACCCTTTCCTTCCTAGCATGTGGTATTGGGACTCCCCAACCTCCTCTCCACTCTCAGTGTCAGGAATCTGGAGGCTTCTGCTCTGGTCTCATATCACCCTGGTGCTTCCACACCCTTGTCTCCATAGCCAAGGTTAGAGTCAAGCCATGGGGTGGTACGTCCACTGGAAGTCATCCCATCTAGGCATCAGGGCATCTTGAAGTAACTGCCCTTTCCTGGGATATGTATGTGTGAGACAGTTGTTTGGAGATGGAAGAGGGCTGGGAAGAGTTTCCTAGAAGGTGGTCTCCAACCTACGGACCAGCAAAGATTTCCATGGACCTTTGCCACCCTGCCTTCAACCCTGACAGTGGAGGCAGCATGCCTGGCACTTAAGAGGATGAGTAGACTAGGGTTCAAGCCCTAGCCCTCCACTTACTGTCTGGACAGGTTACTTAGCTGCTCAGTGCCTTGGTTTGCTCATCTGGAAAATGGAAGGAACTGAGATAATAGTAAGGCTATCGTGTTAACAAAGCACTAAGATCCAAGCCAGGTCCACTGTGGGCATTCTCTGCTCATTATTAGAAGTGTTCCTTCTTATTTGCCTCCAAGATCCCTCTCCCTTCTCCCCTATATTGTGTTCCAGACTGGGAGGTCTGGGAGAGGATTGGACAGAAGGTAGAAAAAAGCAAACTATGGCAATGCTAAGGAGAGCAACTGTAACATTTTAGCTTGAAAAATGCTGAAAATAGCTTGTTCAAGCCTTTGTAGATAAAAATGTAAAATGTATGCAAATATATGTGACTCACGCAGAAACATACATCCATGGCCTCCTCACAGTCAGTGCCCAGATGTAGCCATCAGGACAATCCCCGCAGTGTGCAGAGGGCCCAAGCCGCCTTGGTAGTGGTGCTGGCTGTTGGGGAGGGGGCAGTGCTGCTGCTTCCCTGGGCTGGGCTCCTGCCTGCACCTTTCTTCTGGGTTCTGTGCCTTTACCGAGGGTTCCACGTGGGAGGAAGAGAAGCCCTGGGCCCCTCTCTGCTCTTCCATCTCACCGTCCTCCCTCTGGTTCTTCCAAGAGCCCATTTGCTTCCTCTCCCATCCTGGTTCTATTTCGGGAGCATCTCATTGGAGATGCACGCCCCCCTCTCTGCCAAGCTCCAGGTGCCTGCTTGCTGGGTCCTCCCAGTCTTCTGTGCAAGTCAGAGATGGTGGGAGGGTGACAGCTGAGCAAGGAGATCCACAAGAGCCAGAGCAGGAGGGCTAGGGTGGCAGAGAGCCAAGTGGATGCAGGGAGGGGCCACTGTCACCTTGAGGTTGAAATGCACCCACTGCAGCCACCTGTGGAGGCTTTTCACACCCCAGAACATCTTCCCCTGCAACTCTCAGGGGCTCACCCAACCTACTGTGAGCCAATGGCCACCATTTCCCCGTGGGCAGCTCTGGAGGCCCCCACCTCAGTAGTTCCAGAGCTGGGTGTAGTCTCCTTTCAGCATCATGGGCGAGGGTCTGCTTCTCCTCTTAAGAACTGGATCTGAAACTAGATATAATATTGTGACAACTATACTTATATTTTTTTTAAAAATGTTAAGAGCTAGATCTGTGGTTGTTTAGAATGATGAGGACCCCCCCACCCCCACAAATGTTCCAAGGATGCTGAAAACACTGCCCCTATAAAGGTCAGGGTGAGCTTCACCCTGCAGGCCTCTCCCTAGAGCTGTGTCCTAGGAAGTGTTTGCCCTGAGCTGCTTGGGTAATGGGAGCTGGGAAGGGTCTGCTCCTTTATCAGAAACCTCACCCTACCTGAGGTAAAAGCGGCCCAGTGCAGAGTTCCCTTGTGGGCCCTTTGTCTCCCTTCCTTTGGGCTCAGGAGAGGAGCTTTAGTCCCACGGCCCAGGACCACCCTAGCCTGACCCTCCCTCCCCTCCAGTCCCTTCTCCAGAGTCCCTTGGCTCAAGGAGGCCAAAAGGACCAAATCTGCAGCAAAGTTGCTTTGGGCCCCTTAGAACCAGCACCCAGGGGACAGGCATAAAGCTCCTGCGCCCCAACCTCTTCACTGCTTTGGTGGGGGAGGGTCTTAGAAGGAATTTTGTCTCTAAATCTCTGTTCTCAGAGGCTTCTTGACCCCAGACTTCCCTCAACTTGTAAGTGATTACGTATACATGGTATCCCTCCACACGTGAGCTGCGGCTGGGATCCCCAGAGAAGGCTCCTGGAGGGACCCCAGCCGAGACCCGTTTGTCCCCCGGCATCCAGCCTTTCCCCAGCCGCCGCCCTCTGGTGTGTAGGACAGGAAACGCCCGGCTTTTAGGTCAAGGGTGTGTAAGTAGATGAGGCACTCACTGTTAAGGTTTGGAAGGAAGGAGTCCTAGGGCAGCCAAGGCTTCCCGCGGGCGGGCAGGACCTTAACCCCATCAGCGCCGCTCCCCAGCCTTGCCGAGGGGAGGGGCCTGGCAGCCGCACCGGCCCCTGAAACCGCGCTTAGAGATCCTGGGGTGGCAGGTGATGTCACCCCTGCGGGCCCATAGGTCTCCCCGCGGCACCTAGTCTGCGGGTTACCAGAATTCGGCCGGACCCAGACAGGAGGAAAAGGAGCCTGCGCCGCAGGCGGGAGACCCCCATCGACCACTCCTCCGTCACGGGCAGGAGCCCCTCTCTCCTGGGCGTCGTGGGGACTCGGGCTGCTCCCCACACTCCGCACCCGGCTCCGGAGGCGTGCTGCGGCGGGGGGAGGGG